ATATAGAAAATATACAATTTACACAATTTTACAATGAATAAAGCTTTTTAAGGCAAAACTAAAACTGTTGGCGGCGTCTGCAAAATAAAAAAAAAAATTAGCTTAGCAATAACGCTCACCTTAATATATAGATTCAGAGCCTCAGACCCAAGTGTTCTTCCAACTATTTCAGCAAGTTTTCAGTTTTCCCTCAATATATATGATATACAAGTTTTATTACTTCTAAATATTACTTGACAGTTAAATATTAAATATTACGCCACAGTTATACGCGACAGTCAACGTGACATGGCGTATGAGTAACCTTATCCCCAACAGGAATTCAATACACACGGTTTCCAAAACTTTCAATTGTCTACAAAAATAACAAAAATAACAAAGTGTTTAACACATACAATTAAAAGTACCGTTATTCAAGCATAGCAAACAATAAAAACCCGTTATAAAAAGTAACTCTTAAATAGGGAGCACGCAATAKGGAGTCTTGCAGACAATACACTTAGAAGGAAATGTACGAAGTGAGAGCGCAAGAGCGCACGATTGAGAGTGCACCATTGTAAATGAATGCTCGCGTACACACGAGGGATGCTGTGTGCCGTTACAATGAGCGCGACAGCAGCCGCCACCTAAATACTGTTATACAGACGCAAATAAGCGCAGGCACACACACAAGCGAACACAARCACGCGAAATTGTGTCACAAAACCCACCATATTGCTATGCGWCGTGTGTGTTAAATTGCAGAGATTGGCCATCGATTTTCTCAGTCAGGTGGAGACAGTCGACGTGTACGGATGCTAAACGGTTACAAATAAAGCGCGTCACAGTGAAAAGTTGCAAGCAAAAAAAAAAAAAAACAACAAAAGATGAGATATCTATGCACCAGTTGTGGCCAGCTAGTAAAAGCATAGAAAAGTGTTGAAAATTATACCTGAAAATTAGTTATACAATATTACTAAGCRAAAAAAACGTAAACGTAAAAGTTAAATTTGTCTACACAGTGAAAAGAAAATGAGCTAACCGACAGGAAAAAGAGAATCCAGTGAAAAGGAAACACACGCACACAGGCACCAGCGCACACATATCACATAATTTGCAAATTGGGGCGCATGCAGCAAATATGAAAAAGGCGTTTCTATACTAGTGAATACAAAAACAAAAAAAATAATAATAATAATAAAAAGAAAAATTTAACGGTAAAATAATTTTCAAATTTGGCATATAAAGTAAGTGAGGCAAACGAGACTACCAGTAATTGACGCAAGTTAACACAGATACGTCTGAAAACGCGCACAACGGCATAGAAACGGCTGCGAATATACATACTAGAAGTAGGCACTGCCAGCTCTTAAGCACAGCGCAGCTCAACACGCTGATAAAAACGTAACTTTTATGGATAACACTACAAGGTACTGGGTTTGAGCGTTTTTGCTGAAGAATTTTTAAGAAGAAAGAAAGCAGTCCTTCTTTTCTGAAACGCCCAAACATACATATTTAGATATATTTTTTATATATACTATGTATGTATGTACGTAGGTGAAAAACGTTGTAATAGAAAGAAAGAAAAAAACTAAATTGATTACAAAAATTACAAAGAAGGAAATGATGTTAAATGTGGAAACGGATGTGTAGTGACTGCCAGCGTATACATTTTCAATTTCTTCAGCTTCTTCTGCCTCTTACGCTGAYGTGCTGCTAATAGCAACGGTCGTTGTAACTTCGTGTACTATGCTGATGCTTTGCTTCTGCACATGCTACAACCACAGTGGTGCTATTTCTTCGGCGTATACGTCTGATGCTGCCACTGTTGCTCTGCTTCTTAGCTTCTTCAGCTCCKCAGCTGCTTATGGGTTTCCACAACAAAAAACAAGGGATATTTTCTCTAGCTCTTGGCACTTGGTCATTTGCCTCGCCTTGGTTTTCGCATACGCACAACTTTGCGGCGCTCTTTCACTCACGCGCTCGCGCTCGTACTGCCGCTCTTTACAATTTGTATATATCCTTGTGTTTTATATTCACCACACCCTAATGTTGTATTGTATAGCTGAGTGTGCGTGTTATTACTTTCAAAATTGCGCGCACACACACGGACACACGTACAAACTGCGTTAGAAATGCCAAACGAAGCATAAGCACGTGCACTCGCTTATATGACGAAGTCAAACGAATACTCGCATGAGCAGTTGTTTGTGTAATTAAGCACGCAATAACAACAATGCAGTTTTTATTTAGCAGCTGGGAGAGCGTGTACAGGAATTCACCTACATATATTGGKTTGGAAATGGTAAACGCCTGTTGTTGCTAACACTACAWTAGTGTTGTTGTTATTGCCAAATTTGTCGTCACAGTTTTGCCACATACAAACTCACAACTACACATAGTAGTAGGCAAGAATACAAGCAGTAACACAGCTGCTGCAATTGCCGTGCCTGCAAGCGCAGACTTCACTTTGTTGCCTACTTTTGTGTGCGCCACCCAAGTACCGAAGTTCGGTTCAGTTGTTGCAGTGCAGCCGTGACTGGTAAATAATTTACAGCAGCTTTAGTCTGCTACTCGCTCGGTTAAGTATTGCGGTGTCGGCTTTAACCATATATAACGGGTATGCGGCAAAGAGATCACTACATTGCCTTTACAGCAACAGGAGGGAGTATTACAGAGATGGCAACGCTAAAGTGGCGCACACCAAGTGGCGGCAACGGAATATCAGTGTTGTGCTGTTGAATAAGTTGTTACCTATAAGCAAAAAAAAAAAAAAGATAATAATAATAAATAAAAAAATAAATTGTTGCTAATTTCTAAAAAGCTTATGGATGGAAGTTGAAAAGTGATCAGGAATAGAAACAAAAGGTTGCTGTCCTAGGAAGAGAGTTTATCTTATTTTTAGTTGCTGATAATATACTTGTGTAAGCAGTGCATAAGTGAAACAAAAGTGAGAACGAACTTTAAGTGTGTGCAAATTAGCTGAAACAACTCGAAAGTGTAAAGTGCACTATATTTAGTAGCACTGTATTTCAAACAAAAGTAGGCAGAATTKAAAATGATTGAATTAAGTTAATASTTGAAATAARARCTACGAACGTGATAACCTAATATATTTATAAATTTGCCTCATTATCATATTGACTACTAGGAAAGAGGAAAAGGAGAGTGGAAAAGCAGAATGAACAAAATGATATTTTTTCAAACAAGGCGAAGTTTACAAAACTGTGTACGCAAATGTGGTGTTRTGATATGAAAAATTAAATTCAAAATCAAATAGAATAAATGTTACACTCTTGGGTTATAAGCGATGCTAATAAATAACAACAAGACAATTTGAACTGAGTTRTGTAAAATAATCGTTTGATTACAATAAAATATCTTTATCACTTTTCTTTAAATTTAAATAGAACATCCAACTAAAACTAAACTAAATCAAACTAAAGTTTACATTGCCTAAAAATGTCTGTAATTGAGAAAATATTAGAGCTTAGCTAACACCTGTTTGAATCAACTCATACATAATTTTTTTTTTTTTCAAATGAAAACAAATACTGTAGAAGGCATCTAAAAAGTCATGTGGTCATAAAATAACCACAACTGAAATGCCTGTAGAACATAATCTATGCATGTATAAACTATAAGTATGGGTTAGGAGATCTATACTATACATTGAACTTAGTAGAGGGTAGGACCACGCTCACTTTTTCAAAATTCTTTTCGCCAAGGCGTCCCTGGCTACTGCGATCCTCTGTACCAATGAGATGTATGTATGAGAATTATATCGCAGTTTTGTGCTTAGTTATGACACTTTATAGGTTTGTGGCAGTGGTCCGATTACACCCATCTACGAACTCGATTATTCCGTTTKTACGGCAGCTGCATGCTATAGTATTCCGATCTGAATAAGTATTATGAAGATTGCATCATTGATTTCAATAATAACCCAAGCCAAATTTCTTAAGACATAAAAGAAAAAAGTTTTCCATATAAGCACTTCACGCTGATTACGCAGTTTGTACGGCAAGTGAAGGCTGATCCACTTTCCTACTGTTTTAAAGAAAAAGCACAGATATTTTAAATCTAATGTGGAATGTTTATCATCCTMGGAAAGAACATTATTTGGCATTTATTTGTTGATTATCAGATGATTCATCCGTTGAGTTCAATTTTCGATGACTCTAAGCGGGCTTGTCCGCATAGACCTGAGACGTTACATTTTTTATTTGGAAAAARGTCTTATGGTGTGATATCACACSATCTGGGTGGTCCATCRTTYGGTCCACAAATCACACCAAACCATTGCTTTTTCTGAATAAAATGGAAGCTCCTAAATCTCTTGAGACTGCGAAGCGGGGGAAACACATTCTTAACTAAATTTTCGTAATAAAGTTGAAGTTGTATATAAACTAGGCTTAAAGAACCGATTAGAAGGAGACACATGTTCGTAACCGAGTAGTGAACTACCATAAACGCCAATGCAAATAACTAGCCAACTGTGTCGTTAGCTTCATGCCTTCAACGTYAACTCCAAAGTGAGTATTACCACTTCCGTATACTTATACACTAAACATATTGTAGTTGGTGCTGCGTGTGTGCAGCTGTGTACTCAAGACTACTTGGCACTTGGTCGTTGTAACGCCAACGGATGTGCGACCAAATGACCGGAAACTGACATTATTTCAAARAGAAAGTGGATCAAGTTTTTAGCATTGTCTTTACTCGTCAAAATCAAGGCTGTGTGTATAACGTGCATAAAGTTTACAGTTACCAACGGAGACTACTGAGAATAGCGAATTGCTGCACGGAGATTATAACTGAAGAAGTAGATATGTGTGTAAGCAAGGAAGCGCTGCGCCAAGCATAGTGTAATAAGAGAAAGAAGTCTGGCAGCAAAATTCGGGCCCAACTTAATTATGCCGAGTCCCTGCTGACAGCTGCTCGGTTCGGGTTGCTTGTTAAGTCAATTTGGCAGGTCGAAGTTGAAGAAAGACGAAAGTAATACATATTTGATGGTGGAAAATTAATTGAATTTATTATTGACTTGGAAAAGTACTGCAAAACGAACAAAGGTTAGCGGAGTGAACGGCAAATAGTTGAAAAGATGTGGCATTAATGGAAAATGAGGTCAAAAAAAGGAAAGAAATATATATTTTTTAATCCAAATACACTTCGTGTGTAAAAGAGAAAAGAAATTAAGATAGTAAATACTGGTTGCTGTCATTGTGATGAGCGTTTTCATAAAATGTGCGTTTCTGTGGCAGTTAAAGCAAATATTTAACTGACATTATGGCGTTTTACAGAAATTAAGCAAGGAATTTTTTTTTATTTATATATTTTTTGTTTTTTGAGTTGCCTGATTTTTTGGAATTTTTTAATTTTGTTTTTTTGCATTTTTTATACTTACTTTACTTCCTTTTAATCCACCTTCTTAATAGCAATTTACCGTGCATCACTTACAACAACCATAAACTAGTTGCATTGGCTTGACTTCAACTGTCAAACAACCTGACTAAGCAAAAATTAGCATTCTTACATCATTAGAGCGCTAACCAGATAACAACAAGTGCTAAAATCAACACAAGTTCTAYCTAATATCACAACAGAAGCGCGGAACAATAACGGTACTCTAAATAAAAGGCAAAATACCAAAAACTGCTAACAATAAAACAAAGCAAMAATTTCCATAAATTCATTTGCTAAACGAATTACTCAAATATAGATAATGCTAATCATGAAACAATAAAAGCAACAAACCAATATCATCACTAATGCGTATCGACAGTAAAATTCTTATTGAATGATAACTGCAGCTGCCAGATACATATAGTATATACTATTGGAGCGGAGAGCACATAATAACTAGTTTACACTGCGCAACAATTGCTTGTAATTACGGTAAGTTTTAAATTACAAACGAATGCGAATTGTACTCGGAATTAATACATATGTATGTACGCTTGTATCCAACGGTATACTGTGCTCATTTGAGTATTTGGGCGAGATTGCGTGTGAGTCCTGGCCAAAATTGATGCGAGTGAATTGATAACTGAAAATCATTTCGACACAATTTTCTATTTTTGTTGTTGTATATACATATATATATACATATGTACATATGTGACTACTCATATATATAGTTGAGCCGAAAATTTTGCTTAAGTCACGTAAATCTAAATTTATGCTGGCTAACTGTATCTATAGTATATTAATTAGCTCATTAAACGTTTTTGTAAGTTTATTAAATACACAAATTTTGCAATAAATTAGCTCACAACACTGTTCTGTTGGTATGCCGTACAAGAGAATTGTTTTATTAGGTCTACAACTTTGCCTCCGCCGTTTTCCAATAGATGTCTCTAGGGTCAAGCATTGGTCGATTAAATCAACAAAATATTTGTAGCGATCTATTTGCATCCCAAACTTATTCTCAACAGCAAATGTCACTTTTTGAGCCGAATTCGCGACATTTGCGGGAAATTTGCTTTTCTTTTTTAACTCCAAGAAAAGTGCTTCCCGTTAACCCGTTCACGCTTTACTGAGGCTGACATATACATAGATAATACTATTACGCTACTACTACCATCTATATGATTTCTATTAGTATTAAAAAGATATAGAATTTTTGTAAAGCAACTTGTGTTCGTTTACAAAAAAATGGATCATAAAGCATTTCGTGTGTTAATTAAGCATTGCTTTTTGGGCGAATACGGGAAAACACTTTTGGACGGTTTTTATACAATAATGCTTTAAATTTACATAAAAAAAAATTGCGGAAGCAAAGTTGTAGACCTAATATTTTCAATAATAAGGAGTGATTCTCTACTTCTTAACGAAAAAAAAAACATCAAAATTAATGCGGAATGTTTATTATCATACGAAAAATCATCATTTCACGTTTATTTCTTGAATATTATAARTTTCAAATATTGGATGCGGCTACGTGTCAGATGATCCATCCTTAGAGTCGAATTTTTAATGGCTCGCTCAAGCATTTCGACTGGTAATTGACGAATGACAAGCGTGATGTTTTGCTCCAAGGMSTAAATTGAAGCGGAATTGTCTGCATATACTTTAGAGTTTACATATCCCCACAGAAAAAAGTTTAACCGTAAGATATCATACGATCTTGGTGGCCAATCGTGCGAGCCAAAATATGAAATTATCTGCTCACTGAAATGTTAGCTCAATAAATCCATTGATTGATGGGATTTGTGGGAAGTGGCGATAGCTTGTCGAAACCAAAAACCGGGGTAGCGGTCGGCATTGACGGTTACATTCGCATTCGCATCATTTTTGGAGAAATATGGACCGATGCTTCCACCGGCCTACACACCACATCAAAGCGTTATTTTTTCTGTGTGAAATGGTAGTTCTTGAAATCCTTCATTTTGCTTTTCATCCCAAATGCGGTAATTTTGCTTTGCTTACATTCAAATTGAGCCAGGATTGGGTCTCAACGCTGAAAAAATTTGACTCGAAAATTTTGAAWYTACTTGGAACTTTTGAAGAGCCCATAGAGCGAAGCTACGTCGCTTGACAAGGTCGAGCAGATTCAGTGCTTGTACATACAAGTTGTATTTTGTTCGGTTTCTATTTAAGATCTGGACGTAAAATGCGTCAAGTTGTTCCATCCGTCAATAGGACTCTCCACTCTCTTCGTGTATACTCTCAGCTAAAGCTGCTTTATTTTCTTCATGTGTGGTGTGCTGAGTGCCTATGGTTGGCTTTTTATCGAAAAACTCAGTTATTCTCTGAGGTAATGAAACATAGATAATAGTTTTTTGTACTAAAAATCGTACTAATATTTGGTAAAATCGGGTCATTGGTTCGCCTTGCCTCACATACTCAACAGACGGTGGACTTTTTACCCTAAATGTCGGTTAATATGGTAGTCGAARAAGTCTTTTCGTATTTCTAATGAAATTTTAACTTATTTTGTTTYAAATATGTACCATTTTGGTCGGCCACTTTTTGTCATCTTTTCGCTAGATCCATCAGTGTAAATCAAAATTTAGTAATTAAATTATATGTCGTATTGCCGAAATTTAATACTACGTACTGCCCAAAGTCCCCATATACCCACGTTAAGAATTTCAAACTCTCCTTTGGCTTTACACCGTATATATGGAACCATRTGTATGTTGTCTTAGAAAGATTAAATTAACATTTTATATCGATAAAAATCGTTGGCTGAATTAACCCAGCTCCAATTTTCGCAATTTTTGTATATATATGTATGTATATTAGAGTGGGTGGATTTACASGAGCCAAAGAAACTACCAAATCGCGTATTCGGAAAATATGCTATGGTGCATTCTGAACAAATTTGCCTAAGAGACCATAGATCTGAAACCGGTGTGAGAGCAAGCGGGTTTTATGGCGACATTTTATTTTTCTTTATTATAATTTTTTTTTGTAGTTTTGAGTTATATGAATAAAATTTGATCATTTGTCGAAATGATTACACATCTCTTTTACAGCGTTTGTCTTAAAAATTGCTAGCTCGAAATCGATTTTATTTCCATATTCGCTTAAATCAAATTGTTCTGAACGATCTGTATTAAATTTCTCTCCTACGCGATTTTCTAAAAAAAAAAATCGATCTGCTCTAATGTCTAACAAGATCAACAAGAATTATATACCTAAATGGAAATATATTTCCGATTATACTTCAGTTTTGTGAAAGTTAATGCAAAATGCTCTTTTGTTGATTGTAATACTCTTCCATTAAATATGTATGTATGTTTATTCGAAGATTACTTAAAGGAATTAAAATTGTGAATTAAATTTGGGCAAATATGTACAGGGTGGCTGATGAAAGATTTTTAAAACTAATTAAGCTATATTTGATAAAATTGAATGAGCTTTAACATGAATAAAAGAAAAATTAATTCCATACACTGAAAAAAAAAATTATTTGAGTTTCTTAATGTAGCAAAATTCATCAGCCACCCTGTATAAGTGTTAGATAAAGAACTGTGGTTTGTGCAAAAAATTTTTGTTATATTTGTAAGCAGCTATTTTTCAATTAAAATATTAAAAAATGCAAGCCAATAAATTTCATTTTGAATTCATAAARATTTAGTAGTAAGCAATTGTTAAAAACTTTACGCAGATCCCATATATATGTTTATAAATTAACTCCAACTAACTCAACGCAAAAATTTCAAAAATTATGAATAGTCATTCCACTACATATGTTTATATTAGGCATATATGTATCTACTTACTAAATGCTCAAAGTGAAAACATCCACATACACAACTATATTATCTAATTCGAATATATCAGTTAATATTCCTACAGAACTCTTTAACTAACACCTAAAAGTGATTAAATGATAAGAATAAATGCAGACAAAGTAACAAACAATCAATGCGCACTAAAGYCGGCTTTTGTGCATAGAAAATTTTAAGCCTTAATGATATCTAAGCCACACATGTCACACTTATCTATTGAAACAKTGTGGAATATGCAAATCTATGCATATCTATAATTACAATGCGATGAATATGCAACTGCACTGGCATTTATCACACCGAAGCGCAACCACGCCTACCCCAACGTGAGCAATGCAGYAACAAACGCGGCATCTCACAAGAAATGCATAGACTTCCCACACATGTGCGCCCCACACAAATATAAATAAGCACTTATATAAAGTGATACGTGCCATGTTATGCATAAGCGGATTAATTGTAATTAGTAGGTGACTGSAAAATAGCAGCAGAGCAACGTGTCGTATACGCAACATGCCTTCCGCATATAAACTAGAGATGAGGGCAACGTGAAGTAAGCGAACCCGAACATTSTGTTAAGGGTTTGTAAGCAGTTAGAAGGCTGAAAAAGGCGAATTTTGCAGAATTTTTTCAGAGAAAACTTTTAAACTTATTGATCCAAAAAAATGTTGAATTTTTCAAATTCGAATGCAGTTTGGCAGTGTTATTAATATTTCAGAAGTTCTCCGTAAATAATAAATAAAAGAAAAATATTTTTTTAAACCATGTTTACTCGAAAACCGTGTTCTCGTGGTCATGACTTTCACCCTTGTGGTAGTTTGAAATATAAAATAATAATTAAATTTTGACGTCATTATCACATGAACAAAAAAAAAAATTGACAAAAATAAAAATGGAGCGTAGTGAAATCTTAAGTTAAAATATCTAGACTTCAATACACATCTAATGTATTATAATTTAGAAAGCGCTTTCCGTTAAGTTTCTTCTTATGCCATACTATTATATTGCAACAAACTGCRCATTTTTAAGGCAACTCGCCAATCCCGAAGTGTTTAAAACTGCTTAGCTCGATATCTAGCACGAGCACGCGCCTATACACCTGAGCATGCACCCACTTAAGTATGTGTGAAGATTTGCAAGCATATTATGTRGGTATTTGTCTAAGCGGATTTTATGTTGCTACTGTAACATGCTGCAACTGCGTATGCATCGACACCGAGTTAAAATTACACTTTTACTTTGGTGGATGTTCAAAAACGAAAGCTCATTGCGTTCTGTTAATGCATATGTTCATGMGGGCAAGTACATATTTTTTCTCAATTGTTTCTAGTGGGCTGAAGCTGAGGCGATTATTTGAATGAGTAAATATTAGTAATACAAGAAAAAAAGGCAAAAAGCTTTAGTAAAAAGTATATTTATAAAATATTCCGTACAGGAACTTGATTTTGATAGGTTGGTTTGTATGACAGCTATATGCTATAGTGATCTGATCTGAACAATTTCTTCAGAGATTACATTGCTGCCTTAGCGAATAAGTCGTTCCAAATTTCGTGAAGATATCTCGTCAAATAAAAAAGTTTTCCCTGCAAGTGCTTGATTTCGATAGTTTAGTTTATATGGCAGCTATATGCTATAGTGATCTGAACAATTTCTTCA